CGCTGCTACCCTCTAACGAAGGCTTGGCCTAGCGGTACGCGTATTTTGGGGACCTACAGAAACCTTGAATATTTCATTCAATAAACTTGTTCCATGTTAAAATAAACAGTAGGAATGTGGTATAGTGAAGCATATGTGCAGCATATATAGACACCCATATAGGGTGTCTATATAAAACGAAGACCCTTGAAAAATTTCACAAACAGACGCCCAAAAAATGTCGTAAATTTGATTTTGTGACAGCATGGCGTATTATCATCAAAATGAACGAGAAAAAAAATAGGGGTCTTCGTTTTTGGGTCTTCGGTCGTCGTTTTATTATACACATCTAGATGTGTATAAGAGACAGCTATGATGTAGCCCTTCAGTGCATCTGACCTGACCTCAGTCTGTTGTCAATTAATATGAAATGCGCGCGCGCAAAGGCTTTTCCATTTTGTTTGCAGGGTTTCCTTTTTTTGTTTGCAGCGTTTCATTTTTTTGTTTGCAGCATTTCCTTTTTGGCTTGCAGCTTTTTCTTTTGTTTGCTGGTGTTTTTATTTTTTGCTTGCAGCGTTTCTTTATTTGTTTGCTAGTGTTTTTATTTTGTTTGCAGCGTTTCTTTATTTGTTTGCTAGTGTTTTATTTTTTGTTTGCAGTGTTTCTTTTTTGTTTGCAGCATTTCTTTTTTGTTTTCAGCGTTTCATTTTTTGTTTGCTGGTGTTTTCTATTTTTGTTTGCATCGTTTTCATTTTTGTTTACATCATTTCTATTTTTGTTTGCATCATTTCTTTTTTGTTTGCATCATTTCTTTTTTTGTTTGCAGCGTTTCTTTTCTGTTTCCATGATTTCTTTTTTGTTTGCAGCGTTTCTTTTTTGTTTGCAGCATTTCTTTTTCTTTGCAGTGTGTCCCTTGTGGGCCATCGTAGAAATCAGCTTCCAAAATCAAAACATTTTGGAAAAAACAAGAAACAAGGAGTATGCAATGTAACCATCTAATTTATTTTCACAACATTGGCTTCAGCATTAAATGAGTAGCCTCACATCTGTCTCTTATACACATCTAGATGTGTATAAGAGACAGGTCCAGGGCCTCCCCCTGTCGGGGAGAGCTTCCCCCCTCCCCGTCGGGGAGAAAAATCACAATTCGTCGGGGAGGAAAAAAAATTATGTGTATTTTTTACATATTAGTAGACTCTAAAATCGATTAAATAAGCCTTTGAAACCCCTAAATTGTCAGGACCACTTTCGGAACCTTTTAGTCGAAGCTCGACCACGCCCACTTTGCTTTCTTCGGAGAAATCTGATCCCTTCTCGAGGCACCGCCCCCACGTCGGGGACCTAAGCCCCCACCCCCGTCGGGCAAATCCTGGCGCCACCCCTGAATCTATCAACCACGCTGTCAAGGTCGAGGTTGCTTCACCTATCACGATGTATTCCAAGCATCATGAGGCTATTTAAACGAGCATTTGTCATAACAGAACGCAAATTATTTTTAATTAGTTTCATTAAACTATTATTATTATTATTATTATTATTAAAAAGTTAACAAAAATAGTTTAATGAAAGTAAATAATTTTTTTTATTTGTTTATTCCCCGACAGAATTTACTCATCTTCCCGACTGGTGGGGGCTATATCCCTAGCTCCCCCTCTTGCGCCACCACTCTTTCAGTGAAAAGTTCAAGTTGTTCGCCCGTATATTTTAGCTTTTTGTATGTTTTTTTACATCATTTTAAGTCAGGCATTGACCATGCGTAATAAAATAAAATCATTAACTTTGTTTGCTTTCTGGTGTGTATATGTTGAAGCTTGCGGTACACCACGTAAGTAGTTCTGAAAAGAACTGTTGTAGTCGAGAAAGCTTCAACATATATATTAATACAGTACTTCGCCATGCAAACCTTCAAACAATACTTTCTGTTGTGTGTTATAACAGTACAGTATTGTTAAACTTCCTTCAAAAGACGTGCACACTCGTTCTGCACGAATGGACATGATTTATAAATAATAATAATTTTGGATTTATATAACGCCTCACGTTGACACAACCTCGAAGCGCTTAACAACAACAGAGAAGAAAAACCACAACAAATGCAAATGTACCAAAAAATTATCAAATATTTGGTTTTAGTCTAGTTTAATTAAGTTCAAATGATTGGTTTGATGATTATCAATAAATGTTGTTATTACAATGCTTTGGTAATTGGAATCATTTCAAGGCCTGTTACTTTCCTATTCATCCAAAAGCCTGTCATTCTTTCCCTTTTGCTTCTTGTCTTTCTTCCTTTCCCCTTCAAATGTTCCTGATCTTTACTTTTCTTGTCCTTTCTTAGGTTTCCTTATCTTACTTTTAACATTCCTTTCTTAGATTCCTTATCTTTCCTTTCATTTTCTTTCTTATAATTC